ATGCTTTTTTATGTACCACCTCAAACATTTTCAAAGACTATTGATATATGGCTATGAAACTTGCACACTTTGTTCACCATCATGCATAGTAGCATAGTTTGGGGACCTTTCTGTTGAAAATCTGTCCGAGTTAAATTGTATACATATACACCTCCTCGTACAAATCAGATAACCTCGTGTTTCGATACTAAACCTGTACACAGGTGAAAGTAAATTTCAAGTATTTTGAAAGAAATATGTCCTATATTTATAACACACTTGTTTGAGAGCATAATAAGTCACTCCAAGGCCAGTAACTGTAACAAGAACATGAATAATAAAACATTTGGCCCTTTTTTGCTCACCTGAGCTAGCTCAGGGTGAGCTTTTAGGATCATTGAATGTCTGTCGTCTGTTGTCCGTCCACACTTGTTCGTTTACACTCTAGCCATCAGAGTTTTGCCTGAATCATCATGAAACTTGGTCAGGATGCTTATCTAGGTAATAGCTCGGAGTTCGAACATTGGTCATTTCGGATGAAAAACTAGGTCCAAGGAGCTAAAAATAAAAAATACTTGTTAACACTCAAGCGGTCGTATTTTTATCTCAATCACTATCAAACTTGGTCAGGGTGCGTGTGTAGGTAATAGCTTAGACGAGTTTGAATATGGGTCATCTCGGATGCAAAACTAGGTCACAGGAGCTAAAAATAGATAAACTTTTTTAACACTCTAGTGGTCCCATTTTTTGACTCGATCATCATCAAACTTGGTCAGGATGCTTGTCTAGGTAATTGCTCGGATGAGTTCGAACATGGGTCATCTCGGATGAAAAACTATGTCACAGGAGCTAGAAATAGAAAATTCTTGTTAACACTCAGTAACCACTACTGTTTTGATCAAAATATCCTGGACATTGTCTGACAGTTTGTTTTCTAGGTCAAATTTCTGGGTCACCTGGGGTCAAAAACTAAGTCACACTGCTCAAATATGGATAATCCTTGTTAACACTCTAGTGGTCACATGTTTTACTCAATTATCATCGAACTTAGACAGGGTGTTTGTCTAGGTAATTGTTCGGATGAGTTCGATGGGTCTGGTGAGCGATCTAGGGCCATCTTGGCCCTAAAATTTTACATTTCCGATAGAAAATTTTACATACCCAAGGTTAGTACTATCAAGGACTAAGAATAGTCGAGCCTGTTATCCTACCGACAACTCTTGTTCATATTTTAAAGTAAATGGTGTAACTAATGTAACACATGTAACATTTGTATTGTAACAAGGTGCCTAGCATTTCAATTTTTTCCGATTTCTAGTCAAGTAAGTTACATTATTTAATAGTATTTACAACCTTTGTGTTTATGTAATTTTTCCCGATTTTTAATTTTTCTTGGGCTTGTGATGTAACATATGTAGTATCTGTAACATTTTTGACAAAAACCGAGGTATGTATAAGATTGTCATTTTATTTTGAAAACGTTTCCGTAACATGTATGTTACAACCTTGTGACATCTATGTAACCTTACTACGTATTCCGTCATTCACGGCAATTTCTAGGTCTTTTGATGTAACACATACTGTAACATCTGTAACATTTTGTAACGAATATGTCAAATGTTCATTTAATACCTTTGTTAACCATTTCTAGGTATTTTGCTGTAACAAATGATATTATCTGTAACATTTTGTAACGAATCACATCCATGGGACACAAGAATATGCCCATCATTCATGTTTATTTTAAAGTGTCTTTTTTTATTCTTATCTCAGTCTGCTTCATTTCGAAATATTTTAAAAACCGATTACTAAAACATCACGTAATTAGCAGTGTAAACATTTATAATTTTATACATTTTTTTATACATTTTTAATTTTAAAAATAAAAATTCAGAAACAAATATAATTTCTCTCTTTAGCTCAAAAGAATGTACATGTGTAAAAATGAATACACTTTCTTTTTTTTTCCTTTTAATACAATGTCTGTCAAGATAGTTATTTCCTTATTCATTTCTGAAAACCCTCGCTCTCAGTCGACAGAGGACAATCATTAAGAAAATGCTGTTTAATCGACAGTGAATATTATAAATATTCCGATTTAGTTAATATGGAAAAGGAGTTAACATAACTGTATAACATTATGTGACGTTATTTTTCAATAATTATACTTTGGTTTGAATAGAGGAAGTTTAAGATTGTTGTTTATTGCATTAACGCAAATTGTATTGATAGATAGATATTAATTACAGTTTATATATTATCGATTATGACGACGTATTAATGTCAGAAGAAATTTTTTGGCTTGCACAACTTAAATTATGCAATGGACAAATCTATAAACAGAAAATTGCCGCCAGGTTCATCTGTCGTCCAAGCAAGACAAAATCTATATATAAGACAATATGTTTAAGACGGGATGCTTATGACCATCAATGTCATCTTAATGGAGCAAGATGATAAGGGATTTCCAGTCTCAAGTTATCTTTCAGCATGCAATAAAATTACGATGAGGTACAAATGAAACTTGCATTTGGCTATAGAAATGTTTTGCAAAAGTATTTGCATATTTGGTACCAAATTTGCCTATTTAACGTATTTACTACTAAATGCTTTAAATTTGCTTGGTATTTGTTTCATAACAGACTTACATTTTCAATTGGTGGTCTAAATAAGTGTTTGAAGAAAGCATGAATCGTTTGTCATGCAGAAATTAAAGAATTAAACTATCATAACTATTATCCTACAGAAAACTAAAGAACCTCATATAAAGTAATCTTTGTGAAGTGTGTGTCTGACCAATTTACAAGATAAAGAAAAACACCACACTTCTGACAATGTAACCTTTACCGCTATTTCAACGTTTTAAAACTCATATTTGCCCTTTTTTAACTATGTAAAATGTATTCATTTCTAATATATAATGTGCCCTTAGTTTAACAATACATAAAATAGCTGCCGGTTTCCTTTGCCATCCCAGTGTTTGACAAATTCAATCCATACTATTAAAAAAATTGAAAACCATAAACAATTGTAACATTAATTAAAAAGTTTAAAAGTTAATGTGTTTCGATTTTCCATCTTTCCTATTTTGTCAGTGAAAATGCATGCAAATTGCCATGAAAACTGTTTTTCGTAAATTTGTCATGAAAAGTTTGCTATGACAAACTTTTTTTAAAATAAAACGTATTCAATTTTATGTGAACACGTAAATCGGGGTCCATTGTTATCATTTAGCCGTTTCGTTCTTTTATAAAAAGTTGAAACTTCGTTATTGTTCACCCATTTCTATGGCTGTCATATTAAAAAAAATCAAAAATATTTTAAACAAGAGAACGCTGTAATAAGACATCTATAATTGAGGATGCCTTTTTAATGCCGTCTTAGTGATCTTGCTTTGCTCTTTTGTATTCTTTGGTTACAGAGAAAATTGCCCTTCTTAAATACTGTTGCTGAAAAATAGAAGGTGTGTTGATTTTTTGTTGAAGTTTTATTCCGAATCATATTCAAGTAAACAATTATGTTTATATTGTCTGGAAACAGATTTCTGTAACGGAACATAATAAGAAATGACCACATACATTTGACGTTTTTAACTCCTGGCGCGAGTTTTCATTTTATTCCAGAAAATAGTAAATGACCTAGTCAAGAAGATAAACAACAAATACATATTTTTATTCCAAAGTGGTTTGTCAAACTTATGTTTTTGAGCAACAAAACTTGTTTGTGTTTTTTTTATTTCTCTACAATGATTCGATGTTTTGGAAGTCAAATCGTGAAATGAGAATAGTAAGTTGTATTTTCTAAAATGCAAAAGTTTGGGAAATCCCTCGTAAGTACTACAATGACCTGAAATGTAGTACACTGGCCACATATGTAATAAACTGGCAACATATAAAGTTGATAGCCATATATATAGTACATTGGGCACATATGTAATACATCAGCATCATATGCAGAACATTCGTCACATATGTAGTACATGTTTTATAATAACTGATTTACTAAGATGTCGTTTTAGAGAGGTGATTCAAAACTTGCTTCACTTTTTTTACGATTTTTTAAAATATTTTATCATATAGTGTTCCCATACAAAAAAAATCCTTTAAGGATTAAAAAAATTTTATATTTTCTATCGAATTAGAGATCATGTTAAAGAAAGATTTTTTAGTTAAAAATCCCATGAAATAAATATACTTTCTTTTTTTAATAATTTTTGTTAAAAACAATGTTAAATTTAATGATGATTATTACGAATTTAAAAAAAAATCGAAGTAGGCACATCTGTTTAACCAAAGTGTTTACATTAAAAGTCAAGTGTTAAATGAAGGTTTCTGGCACTTCTCAGAATTCCAATGGCATGTGTTTTTCTATTAATACATTAGAAAGGCAACCTGTTTATTACAGACTGCTATGCGGTAAGTAGTTGAGTAGTTTTATTTTTGGTAAATTGTCCATCCCTTTATGCAATAAATATTTAAAAAATGTGTAAAGTAAATTTAAATATTGCCAAAAAATATGATGACTATGTGGACCAGTTTTTTGCTCGACTATCTATATGAATATATTGTATTCATCCGGACGTTGGCGTTGCAGTCATTCTTTTGTGGAAGTTAATATCTCCGAAAATGCTTGAGGGAGTAGCATAAGTCACTTTCCAAGGCCCATACCTGTAACGTGAATTTTGACAGAAGTATGGTCCTTTTCAACTCCGAATTTTCTACATTATCCAGATACTCTCTTTTCTATCTAGCACTGAAAATAGCCGAACATGCTGTCCTACCGGCAGATCTTGTTTAAATGTTATCATTTTTGTCCACTCTAAACCTGTCACTTTGTTTTTTTATTAAAATGTGGTGCGCCTCTGGGTGTTATACCTGTTTAAGTCTGTATTTTACTGGGTGTTTTGGGGTATTCTTTATATTCAATTGTTCTTCCTTGTATGTACTAAAAGCCTCATATGCAACTTGCTAACCATAGAAGTTAAATGCATCTGATACAGAAGAAAAGACATAAACTATATTTTCAAAAGTTTTATTCATAATACTTAAAAATAATAATTAGTACTTATATTCTTTAAATAAGCAATTATCTTACCTTTTACATACACATATAAAGTATAATTAAAATCCATGAAAATTATCTTAAAAGTTCAAATACTTCAATAAGTTATAAACAATTTGTTACGTCAATTATCATCTCAACAATAACCAATCGTTTTTACATAAAACATGCTCATTACTTTTCATTAGTATCTTGCACGGGATTCACGTTATCAGAAGTGTTTTATAGATGGAAACAAATGATGCATTATTTAATCATTATCATAAAGTTGTTTCTCGAAATGTGTAATGTAACCATCTCCTGAAAAATATCAAGTATTATTACATTAATAAAGTTGCAATAGTTGAATGTTCTAAATGATTTAGATTATATACTATAAAATCCCCCTACGGTTAGGAAAAACGAAAAAAAAACAACTCTAAAATTCATATATTCATCTCCAATTCATTCAATGAAAAAGTCAAACGATTTCTTGTCCAGATAGTGGTTAAATAAAACATAACAGTTATTGAATATTTTACTATCACAACTTTCTTTTTAAAAATTTCAGAACATATAGTGATTGTCTTTTACCCTTAACAATAAGCAATTATCTAATTGATGATTTTTAGATTGGTACTCTATAAACGATATTTGTTGCTGTTGAACCACACACAAAAACAACATGAAAATGTTGTGTTCAGATTTTATTTGAAATGTACATAGTTTAAGTACAAATATAGTTTATTTCTCGAAACTTCACAATGACTGTCAATTTAATTCATATCTCATTTAAACGCCTTAAATATCTGATATATATATATATTCCCGTGCATTATCATGATAATTAATTTAACTTGGAGTTAAAAATGTTACGATTACAGTTTTTGTACTCATAAATTGTCATAAGAGATTGCGATGAATTTTCAAATATTGAACTTATTTCTTATTTGTATGACATGTTACTCATTCCATTATTTTGAAAAACAAACTTACATATAGAAGTCATAACAAATATCATTTCTCATTTCAATAATTAAATATCATTGCAACAATTTACATTTTTCATGCATAGTGTGTGCCACTTTGTTTTTCACATATAGGTGAACTCAAAATGCCGAATACACTATGAACTTCATTTCACTCATGGACAATATGGTAGTTTCAATTTGCTTTCACATTTGTGTTAAGTTTTGATACTACAATTACTTTAAGGAAAGTATTACGTCAAAATGGAAAATAATTAAGTGATATGATATTCTTACCGTCGATGTCAAATAAAGCCGCAACCCATTTCTCCAACATACCATGTTTTTGGCTACATAAATCCATCACAAATTCCGCTGTGAATGATACTGAAAATAAACAAAATCTGAATTATATTATCTTATTTATGTTATCTGTTCAGATATGATACTACGAAGATGTGCTATTTGGAGAGTATGTTTGTTTATTTGAAATACATTTAGGCGAGCAGAATGCAAATTCATTACTTTAATGAGAGGCGTAGGCATGCTTTTAAATGGAACATCTTGTATTCAAAAGTTGAATGTAATTTGATATTGCATGGTAAATAAACATGAACAACCTTTTTTCATAATGAAATTACTTCAAGCCTATTTACTTTCCTATTCGTAGGGACTCCGTGGCCATGTTGTTAATTTTGCCGATACCACATCAATTGCCACTTACCGATGTGGGTTCGAATCCCGTTTATATGAGATAGCTTCCCGGCTAGCCTAAGGTAGGTTGGCGGTTTTATTTAGGTGTGCCTCCGCTTGTGCCAGAAATAATGCACGAAGGGCTTTTTAAGGTATTCCTTTACCAGTAAAGCTAGAAAGTCAACATTTGACGCTATTGTGTCGGTGTAACATAAAATCAAATTTTAAAGACAGCAACTTTCCTTTGGCCTATGCAGTAAAAACACACGCACCACTCTCTTAAATAATGACGTCGTAAAGGTCAGTAAGAAAGGTATAATAGTGTTACGTAATTGTTTACGTGCTTGTAGTATAATACGCAATTTACACAATCTATTGAGTTGTAATTTCCATCAATTTATGATGTGATTATATTATTCTTCCGCCTTGAAATATGGTTTTAATCGTATTATTATATTTGATATTTTGATTATTTTCACTATAGAATTTCCATGCTTAATAATTTCCTGTATTAAAACAAAAATCTACTGAAAAGCGTGCAAGGCAATAATGAACCGTCACTCTGGTTAAATGAATTTTGACATAATGAAATGTCATATGTACTTAAAGAAATGTTATACTAAAAATATTATTATACTTACATTTTGTTAGACATAATTTGGTCTTCATAGCTTTATATAATTTTTTCTTGCCTTTAAAACTTTTACACAAGCCATGACGTGAATAATGATGAATCGATCTGAAATAAACATCACATAATATGTATGCAATATTGTGTCTCTCATTAAAGATAAGCTAAGACTCATTTATGATTCTCCCAAAATTGTTCTCTGCAATTATAATAAAACAAATCACAGGCTGTTCTTGTTGACATTTATTGCAAAGATTGGATCTGATTATCTTCATAATTCATAGTAACTGTTTCGCTACAAATGTTTGTCAACCTTGTGATCTCATTTCAGGCATCAAATTGTTCCTGTATGAAAAAAACAACTTTTTTACTGGGTACCGATTTTCCAGCTTTACCAGTTTGGTAACTAATGTCAATTTTAAATTTTTGTTTTTGCAATATAAAATTTTGTGTCGTTAAAGAAATATATCTTTAAAATATTAGAAATAGCATTTTAATAAATAAATCTATCAATTTTTATTTTGATAACTAGATATTCTTCTACGTTTATTACCTCTACTTTTTTATTTAATTCTGCACAAAAAGAAGTACATTTGTAACAATATAAAACACTTTTATACAACAGATACATGTATAACGATTTATTTACACATGCAATCTGACAAACTTACACGAGAGACACACTAGGTGCTGTTCTTGGTTCATCAAAAGGTTCATTGTCGGCTGTAACAACGTTTGTGACATTTGGCTCCAGTAATAGTGCATACTGCTGCGAAACCTTAAGCAAAGTTTCTATTGCCGCTATTGTTTCTAAAATACACAGTCCAACAGATACCATATTGGACAATTTATTTCTTACAAAACGTAATACGACAACTTTTCTGTCAACTATGCAGAAATATCCTATCCATTATAATTCATGTCAACAGTAACTGTACACAGCACAAAACATGTTGTTATTTTTTATGAAAAATTACATCCAATGTATGTAAATATAATTTCTATCGAAATAAGAAATTTAAAATTGCAGTGATTTTGCTTAAATCGAGGTAATTAGCAATGATTCATACAGTAACGTCTAATTGCAATGAGTGTGCATTTTCCATATAATCAAAATATTATCAATATCCAACGTAGAATACGTATTTTGCCTGTATAAAATACAACATTTTGTTATATACTTCTCGTGAAAACGTGTGTATGTGTATTATTTAAAGTATTCTAGTATTAAGTTATTCCTGCTCTACAACACTCCTATCTGTTTTCAAAAGGTTAAACACATTATTATAATGAACATATCCTCAAACATTATTTTACAGCTGCTTAGATATTTCCGTTTAACAAACTAAGACGATTTTCGTATTCAGCGAAAGCATGTTTCTTGTCTATATGTCAGCTTAGTTTATATACACAGATTTGTTTGTATTACTGCCTGAATCATTCAAGTTTGTTTTGTCAGAAGAATTTTGTCTATCCAAATGCTGCAATGTATCGATTTTTACCAGAGAACTAGAAATCTTGAGTCTGCAGGATACTTAAATGCAATGCAATTCGTTTTGTCAATATCTTAGCTCTAGTACTAAAACTTCAAATTACTTGTTTTTTTATCTTCTGTTTTCTACAAAATCGTTTAAGATATTGTACCGTTCAGCCTGATTAATGAATCTCTAAAGAGTTTATAGCTGTTATCATATCAGAGGAATGGGCGTTTCATTTCATCTTATCTTACGCTAGTTTCTACCTTGTAACAACGTTCGTAGCTTACCGTTCGGCGCAAAAAAATCATTAATTATTTTATTTTTTTATTCTATTTCTTTTTAATTATCTTTTGTTATCATCTTCGCGTAAAGATTGGGGTTTTTTGTTCTGTATTTTTTTGATTTTGTTTCATTATTTCCTATTTAATTTTTAGTTTCTTTTAAGAACATAATATTTGAGACCATAAATAGGATGTCACTGTCCAAGGCCCCTTGTTCTAATTTAAGAATGAATAGAAAGTCACTGTCCAAGGCCCCTTCTCTAGAATGAATGTTGACATAATCATGTCAGTTCTTTAACCTTTTTTTTTGTTTTAAGCTCTAGGAATTACCGAGCACGCACACTTAGGTAAATAAATCGAATTTATTTTAATCAATGTTTTAACAAAATATATCGCAAATTGAATTTGATAATTAGTTTATCAAGAAGGATATTATATTGTCTGAGAGAATACGCTAAAATATTGAAATATACATATATTGTCTTTAATATTTTATGTCCGTGGGTGTGTTTGTCGTTGTTTTATGTTTGTTTTTATGCTGTTATTTAAAAATGTTGAGAAACGAGAATGAATTAATTCATGTTGCTTTTTTCTATCAGTTTACATTCTTCTTCTGTTTTTCTTATCGCTAATTGCATTTCCGTTTCATTTAGCACATCATTTAGCTAACGATATCTACAAATAAAGTTTAATCTCCTAGGTCTCCTAGGAACAGCTATAAAGACGCAAATGTTTTTCTTTCTTCGCATTTTGCTTTGCATTAGGTTGTCGTCTGCAAAATATTCAGACAATTTATCAGTGAATTTTTCTCTTACTAATTTCCGGTATTAAAATATCAACAATGTTCTATTTCATATCTTTTGAAAACTAAACGAAAATATAAACAAAGAATAGGACATAGATTTGTATGAAAAGGTAAAGTTGCAGTTTCGTTCGGTGTTCTTGAGTTGGTTCCTGAAAGGTGCAACATCTCACGTGGCCCCTTGTTCTAACTAAAGTTTTGGACCATGTTGAATGCGGTGTCATATTGCTTGTTTTTCTTCAGATCTAAAATTTCAATTTAACTGTTAATGTTAAAAAAACCCAATGAAATAAAACGATGACTTAATGTGTATTGGTATAAACATGCTCTATAATATTGCGTGATTCGGCATGATATTCTTTTTCTTTCTTTTTTTCCTTTTCCTTTTGTTGAGGGGGGACGGTTTGTGTCAAAGATGTGAATTCGTATCTCGTAAGTTTAAGGCTGTTCATGGTATAATTAATGGGAAACTTTTTTTTATTATTTTGCTATGTGCTCATGAGATATATGTTATTTGTCATTAAGTTGACATTGAACAAATAAAGCAATTTTAATATTGCAATCGACATTTACAATCCAAGAAAAATACCAAAAGGTGGTCAACGTATGCAAAAACAGCCCTTACTGCGTTACTTATCCAGTAGATAAGGTGTTAAAATACTGCAAAATCAGTCTTAAACTGCACATAACATGTAAAATAAATTACTAATATATTGAATGTGCTTACCTTTCTTAAAATTTTAATGCATTTTTCTCAATATCGATTTTCTTAAAATGTTTTGGCTCATCTGTCGTAAGTGTATGGCCGACTGAACAAATAATAAATATAATAGTAAATGTATAGAAATTATACATGGACGATGTATTTGTATCATTTTAACAAACATTATATAATCCAGTTACACATTATCCTTTTATCAATAGAATTATTTCCAACATACTGCAAGTACGGTTACCTAATCAATCAATAGAACTAATGTATACATCTGTACACGTTGACACCATACAAACATACCAATGTATTACAAACGGAATTAACCACTTGCCCCTCACCGCTGTGGGTTCGAATCCCGACAGGGACTTTGGATTCTTTCATGTGAGGAAGCTATCCAGTTAGCTTACGGAACGTCGGTGGTTCTACTCAGGTACCCGTTCGTGCCTGAAATAATGCACGGAAGGGCACCTGAGGTCTTCCTCCACCAGCAAAGCTGGAACGTCGCGATATGACCTATACTGTGTCGATGTGACGTAAAACCAAAAACAAACAAACAAACGGAATTATCAAATAAATATAAATTATCTGTACATAATTTGTCATCTTGCAATTTTCAAAACCAAATCAATATTTTAATTTAATGTTATTTTCATGAAACATGTTTAGTTTAGTCATTTCTTATGCACATGTGATCAACAGCATGTACAACTCCTTTGAAGATATCTCTCTTTGTCAAATCTGACCTGTTTTACAACATCATTATTTTGCAAGCATACTTTATACCTATAAATATACAAATGTATCTAATCACAGTAAATGAGTTTTAGTAGTGCGATAAAGTATGACATTTTTGCTATCGATACAGGTACAACTGTTTCTCATGGTGAGTGATGTATCCATCACCTGAAATAAATACAATAGAAAGCAGCATTTAAACATCTTATTTCATTTACTCATATATATTATAATATCATCTTTCTTAATAGCTAAATGTTTATACAAATTGCTTGTCATTCTCATGTTTTTCAAAAGCTTTGTATTTTGGTGCCCCTCTACAGTTTCCAAATTGTTTTTTGTCATAAAGCTGAGCCATATTTTGCTTCTTGTGCTTATTTGCCATTAAGTACAGTAAAAGTTTTGTAGTGTTTTGTACAGAAGTCAATAAACCAATATGGTTACATTTTTGCTACTTATTTATAAAACATTATTTTTAAATTATAGGCTATTTCTTTAGGTGATAAGCAATTCAAACGTCTTAAATCATTATTACAACATAATAACACATCTTTGCCTTTTTTTATTAATTGAATATTTTCAAAAATTATCACGTTAATCATTTCTATAACAGCACATAACATTCATTTATTCGTTCGAGCGTTCGTTCATTCATTCATTCATTCATTCATTCATTCATTCATTCATTCATTTCCATGCTCTTTATTTTCTATTTATTTTCTTTGTCATATCAAATAATTCCTTTATTAGTCTAGCTGGTCTTTTATTTCAAATCACTCTTAACATTTTATTTCAGTTTCGAAAAATTTATTTTATGCTTTCCAGTGTTTTATTGTAATATATCAGATGATTATATTCTGATAAACCACTAGTGAAATTTATAAAATATAATTTTCACTGTAGCCGGACTATATCTGAATGCGGATGAAAAGAAAATTAAACTAAATGGAATAACAGGCAGAAATAAATGCCGTCATACGTAAATTTTGCTTCTTTATGAAAAGAAAGTCGATGTCACCATACATCATGTTAAAAATGTAACAAAATTAGAGAAATTTAACAGAACTGTATTTCAAAATTGATGATGAGACGTCATGATGTGATGACGTCACAAAGGAAAATGCGCGATGTTACGCGGCAAAATCAGTAAAAAATACTTAAACTCATTTTAAAAGCATGAAATAAAAAGAAAATTTATTTGTTTTACATATAAGATTGAAATATATTTCATTCGTGAACACCAGCTATTATATTTTCACTCGTGGCTACGCCACTCGTGAAAATATTGCATCTGGTGTTCACTCAGTGAAATTATATTTCAATCTTACATGCAAAACAAACAAATATCCTCTATATAAATTTTAAAATATTTTGAAAAAGCCTTAATTCAAAACATTGCAAATTATTTACAAATTGCGTAGTATTTCCCTTTTTAGCTCGACTTTTCTATGAAAAGGGGAGCTATCCTACTCGCCCCGGCGTCGGCGTCGGCGTCGGCGTTAGCGTTGGCGTCACACCTTGGTTAAGTTTTTCGTACCACCCCACTTTATTTCAGAAGTATTACAAGTATGGCTTTGAAACTTACCATACTTGTTCCCCATCATAACCTCCATCTACAGACAAGAGTACATAACTCTGTCAAGGTTTTTGACAGAATTATGGCCCTTTTTTGACTTAGAAAGTGTATTGAGCTTGGTTAAGTTTTTTGTACCACCTCACTTTATTTCAAAACCATTGGAGGTATTGCTTTGAAACTGACCATACTTGTTTACCATCACGACCTTCATCAACAGACAAGAGGACATAACTCTGTCAAGGTTTTTGACAGAATTATGCCCCTTTTTGACTTAGAAAATACATTGAATATGGGTAAAATCCACTTATTGCCTTAACCTTTGAGATATTGCTTTGAAACTTTTAATGCTATTTCACATCATTACCCCATCTGTACGCAAGAGAAGGTAACTCTGTCAAGGATTTGTTTTAAAAATTAAGGCCTTTTATCGACTTAGAATCTTGGTTAAGTTTTTAGTACCAGTCCACTTTTTGACTGAACTGTTTGAGATATTAATTTGAAAGTTGGAATACTTGTTTACAATCATGATTCCCAAACATGTCCAGGAGAAGGTAATTCTGTCAAAGATTTTATTTGAATTATGGCCCTTAACTGTCAATGTTTTGTATTATAGGCAAGCACTAAAAAACTTAAAAAATCTAAAAAAATTCATTCCTATCCACTTGTTCACTTTACCATAAATTATGTCATATAAACATTGCTGTAATATTCAAGGGTATCAAAAATACAAGTACAAAAATATACTGCTTCCTTGGCATAGATTTCTTGAAAAATTATGTTATTATGTCATTTACCAAGGTGTTCTGAGTGACGTAAAAATACCTTATTCTCTCAAAGTGGGTTTAATACTATTAAATTTATTTAAGGCTCAACTCAGTTTTTTTTTCTTTCTTACCAGCCCTCTTTTGACTTAAACATTTCAAACTTTGCTGCAGTGTTCAAGGGTATCACACAATTCAGTAAAATAATTCTTCACTAAATATCTTAATGCTCATGGCCATTGTTCACTTTAAAAATACAGAGATTCTTGTATTGCCTTTTACTGCAAAAACTTTTTTTATTGGCAAGCAATAAAAAAGTCGAGCGCGCTGTCTTACGGACAGCTCTTGTTTATTCTGTTTTCATCCATTGATCAATAACAAATAATGAAGCGTATTGCTTAAGCTGTCATTTTTTTCTGATAAAACACAGAATGATCATTTACATAAATTAATCAGCATAAATTAATGAATTAAATACCGTCAATGTCAAACAGTTCTTCGACCCACTTGTCAAGCATTTTATCTTTACGTCTGCATAACTCGAGAACAAGGTTTGCCGTAAAAGATACTGAAATATAAATATATCACAACTTTATTGAGACTTGCAACGAGACAGAAAACAAACAGAGAGTTCATTTTATTTACTCTCTAAATAATGCTATGAACAACAGCCAAATTAATTTGTTCTTTTGTATTCTATCATCACGGATTTTCTTTCTCGAAGCTGTTGATATCTTAAGCTGAGAATCATACAGGGTTTATACGTATGAGGAACTTAAGATACTAAAATTTTGATACTGGCAAACTTAAAGTAGATTGACTAAAACAATTCAATAATTTTGTACTAAATTATATTGACAGAACGAAAAAAGATAATTCTTTTGCTTGCTCGAAATTATAATATTATCCTTTTAAATAATAACCAGCTAAATTTTCAACAAATATTTCCGTTCCTTATCTTTACTTTACAACTTACGTTCCATATTGCAAAACCTGCTTTTAAATGCTTTGTAAAGATTTTTTTTGCCTTCTAAGTTCCTACACAAACCATGCCTGGCGTAATGATAAACTGATCTGAAAGAAAGACTTCATGTTCATTTAATTTGTTTATTAGCAACAGTTTTTTATCAGTTCAAAAAGTAAGGGAAAGTTTACAAATTGCTTTGAAAAACAAAAAAATGATATAATAGTTAATCATAAAATAGATATAATTGAAACATTAAAGAGCGCTCAACACTACATAATTGCAAATGCAGGCCGGGTTTGATTGAACCTGTTCATGGATGAACGTCATAAATACAAGCTAACGTTGATGATACATTACACCAGCCAGATAGAACTTACCATTCCAATATGAGATGGTTTTTAATAAAGAATGTAAAATTTAAAAATCAATAACAAAAGATACCATAGAAGTAGTGCCAATATTTTTATAAACAAAAACCGGTTGTCATTTTAAACTCCAAGGTTCGTCAAGAATATGTGTGATTGAATAGAAGTGATACAATGACTTGTATCACTTGTTATTATTACAATGAATTTATTTCAATTACTATACTCACGTGCGATACATGCTTTCCTCGACAATTGGTTCAATTACATAATCGGTACCTGGCTGATCTCCGCCTTTTGGAATCTGTAACTCATTTTTATCCAATAATAAGGCATATTGTTCCGACAATCGAAATATAGTCTCCATTGTAAGGAACGTTTCAAAAATGCACAAACTTACGAATACCATAACTATTTGTTTCCAAATGTTCCGTTAATGTGAATAGGAAAAATTCTTCATTTCACAATATATCACTTCCTTTGCAAATATTTATCCACGATATTGTTTTAGTTGTTGAGTTTCTAGAACAATACAAAACACAAAAAAATGTATATCAAAAAAAGCAGTTTGAGATTTTATTCAAACAATTGATGCCATTTTTCATATTTTCAAAATTGTCCATTCGTTCACGGAAAATCCATGTTGCTTACAATGGCACATTAGATACATAAATATTTAAATGAATACATTCATTTAAATCAACAGTTTTATTTTTGTTACGCTCGAGTTTAAATCAAGCAAAATATTCCGCATACAAAAAGCGTTCAAAAAATGAGGAAAACAAACTTAAATAGATACAGAAAAATATATGTCATTGAAATAACGTATTTTAGAATCATTCCTCAAGAAAACTGATATTCATATACCCCTATGATAATATATCACGTATTTTGTTATGATGTATCTATATAATTATTATATAGTATATCTTGCTTACAGATTGTTTGCAATCCTTTACATTTTTGAGTTACATTAGGTTAGTCAACGTCTGTGATGGCTCGGCTATTTTTTCCTAGAAATAATTCGAGAGGTATTCACAATATATCTGTTCCAATCAAGATTTACTCACTCCAAAGAGATGTTTTTGTAATCAAATGTCAGTCTTAATAAGTTGATTTCTTCAGTATGCTTGTGTTGTATGCATCTTTCACTGTGTCGTCTAAATAAAGAATTGAGTGTATAAACATTTACCTAGAACTTAATAAAAGGTAAATTGCAATTGGATGCTTCAGATAGTTTTGATATATTATTTTTTGCGAATCAGGCTGTTTTGGATAAGCTGAAAGTTTCCTCCGGCATGAGTGTGCCAGACAAATCGCGTGAACCAAAATGACGTCATTTCGGAGCATTTTATGAATGAACTGAGTACTTTGGATAATGTCATTTCGGAGTTATGAATGAAGTTGTAAATTCATGCGCTACAACTAGAAAATAGTAACGGGTGAAATTACAATAATTGTAATTGAATTGTAACAACAATAATATGCAAGAAGGAAATTTCTGACATATCTGCGAACATGTTTGCAATTTTTATGCTCCCCGAAAAAATTTCGGGGGAGCATATAGTCGCCGCCTTGTCCGTCCGTCCGTCCGTCTTTCCGTCCGTCCGTAAAAGTATAAGAGGTATCAACACGAAACTTTGTAGGTAGATAGATCTCATTGAGTAGGTGTGCAGTGCACAAGAACCGTAACTCTGCCTTGCCTAATTTGTTAATTATCCCCCTTTGTTTATTTTACACTTTGAAATTTGTCTGGGACATAACTCTAAAAGTATAAGAGGTATCAACATGAAACTTTGTAGGTAGATAGATCTCATTGAGTAGGTGTGCAGTGAACAAGTACCTTAACTCTGCCTTGCCTAATTTTTGAATTATCCCCCTTTGTTTATTTTTACACTTTGAACTTTGTCCGGGACATAACTCTTAATGTATAAGAGATATCAACATGAAACTTTGTAGGTAGATAGATCTCATTGAGTAAGTTTGCAGTGCACAAGAACTGTAACACTGTCTTGCCTACTTTTGGAGTTATTGCCCTTTGTTCATTTTGACACTTTGAATTTTGTCTGGGACATTACTCTAAAATTATAAGAGATATCAACATGAAACTTTGTAGATAGATAGGTCTCATTGGGTGGAAGTGCTGTGCTTAAGAATCATTACTCTGCCTTGCCTTTTTTTGAAGTAATTGCCCTTTGTTTATTTTTACTTTTTGACTTTTGTCCTGGACATTACTTTAAAACTATTATAGATATCAACATGAAACTTTGTAGGTAGCTAGATATAATTGGATAGAACTGCAACGCTTAAAGAACCTAAACAAAGCCTGGTCTAATTTTGGAGTTATTGCCCTTTGTTCATTTTTTTACACTTTCCTGTGTCAAGAACCTTCTCGGGGAGCATCACCCGGTTCAACCGGTTCTTGTTTATCGGATTATCCGTCCGAGTGCCTGCCCATAGATTGTAACACAGCAAGACTCGTTAACGCCCTATGTACAGGTACCCTCTTGACAAATATTCCGATTATAACCGAAACACATCGCAGATATGATCATTCTGCTCCCTTTTAATGTACATACAAGTTACAAAAATATAAGTGAAGTAATGAACTGTAAAGTTAAAGATAAACATTTGGTCATATATCAATAAGTTAAATGCGTATCAATGCCGATAAATGTGTTGTCTATGTATTATTTGTTTTTACATTATAAAATCAGACACAATATTGAAATAAATTTGTAATATGAAATATAATATTACTGGTGGAAATATAATTAAATTTACTATAAAATATACGATAAAACATATAAACAAAATTATATCAATTAGAATAAATTTTATGATTTTTAATAATATAATTATTTTTGTTCATACAGACGTGTCTTAATGTTTAAACTATCGTTTTAAACTAAGTTATTGATTTATTGATTTTTGTTTATACATTTTTTTTAATCTTTGAAACAATTTATTACCAGAATAATACTATAAATTATGAATAATCACTTTAAAAGTACTTCACGCAAGTGGTTAAAATGTATCAATAAAATAATATTTTAAACAACTGCTTTATATGTTTTTGATCAAATAAAATAATCTCACCTTAAAGTCAAATTTCCTTTTTCTTAATTTTAGTACTACTTTATCTATTACAAATATTACAAATATATGAATGAACTAGACCAAGTCTTGCTTTTTTAACAGTTTGAACTATAATATTACATTTGTAACTTATATAGTTTGTACTCCGCCACATGAGTTACACAAAACGTTTAGGTGAAGGGTTTTAAATGACACAATAATGCGTTGTCAAATGGGTAATAAAATGTGATAGTTTTACAGCAATCCTAGTGTATATAAGTGAGTAAAGGATCATGTTGCGATATTGTAGTTAACTCTTATAGCTGCACATATTTTGCATAATGGGAATAATTTAGAGATATGATATTTTTTGCTATTATGTACTTTTGCTTTGGAGGAGTGGTTCTGCTTGTTATAACTAATTCTGTGAAGGAGTGGTCCTCTGTGGTATATCTTTTGCTTGGCAGGATCAATATGTCTTGAAATCTTGTCCAAAAAAAGCAATGCTGATATCATTAAAACTAAATATATGTAAACATCAATGTCATTTTTCGGGCTATGTGGTTGTTATATTTAAAAATAAAAAATGCCAAAATTTGATTTACTGAAGGCCTATTGGATTGCATCTGGTCTTTTTTTTTTTTTTTTTTTATGTTTTTTTTTCAACCATTGTTAATGCAATAAAAATCATTCATTTCTTCCCCAGCATTAATTATAGCAGAATATGAAATAAGATAGTGTTTAAGAATATTCTTGAACATTCATATGAAACCTTCATAGAATGTATCTTACATATATCATCTAGTGTATAATGAAAAGATTAAACAAAATGTTTTCAATAATTAGTCTCATTTAACATCTTAATACCTACAAATATATATACAAATAAATATATAAAGTCTTACTAAGAAATGATGTTAATACCACATACAGTTTTGACATGATATGTTTTTGTTACTGCAGTTAGCCTTCTGTATGGTTTGAATATTTGTTTCACTTCAGACAATTTAATATTATGTATAAAATGTCATGCGTTTTCCTCCCACGTTTACTTTTTCTCAAAAAAGTGACATTGTAATTCATAACAATTTGGCACATTACAATAGATTATCTTATTACTATGTAAAGACTAAATTTTCTGTTTCCGCGTAATTTTGTAGCAAAAAGGTCTATCCAAAAGAACATATTTCATATACATTATGAAAACTACTTCATCAATTACATATATCTGGATAAGCAAAACATATAATAATTAATAGATGTCTTTTTCATCTTTTTAAACAAACATTTTAAGCGAAAGGTATTGTTTAACAATTTGATACACCGTAAAATCAATCATTTTATCATTCTGCATCGTATTTTGTTCAGCCTTAAGATGTAGAACATAAAGCTGTAGAAAAAATTTATATTACCAAATAAAGACACAAAAGAGTTACGCGTAAACAAATATGTTTAATTAATAAATATTACAGTGTTTTTATCAGCTATTAATTTAAACAAAAAACAAAACAAGTTTGGTGCAAAACTGTCTACTGTAACATCAAATCAAACAAGTTTCGGCCGAAACTGCCTGCACTATTATTTTTAAACTGACATAAAGCGCCAAACTGGCCTCTGCAGATTTATGACTTTCTGTTTACTTTGCAACAAAACGACGGAAGTCCTCGCTTCAGTTGTTCATTAATAATTTATGAAATATTTTTTTATTCAACTTACATGAAATAACAACTAGAGACGCATTTATAGAAATAGAAGTGAAATTATATTCATTTTAAATGCCAAACATGATATATATTTAATTGCTCGGTGGAGTTCATAAACCCTTGTGCGGAAGGGATAACTTGTGAACTATGGGTGAACGCGTTTAGCTTTATATGTCATATTCGTCCTTTAAATTTGAGTCTAGAGAACGCACTTTTTATTTTATTACTATCACAGAATCGTTGTTTTATTGTTCTTGATTGCTTTTTCCATATGTAGCTAAGATTGTGCACATTCACCCAAGATATTTAGCTTTACTTATTATGATTTCTTATATCGGATGATTTTAATTAGCCTGTTACTTGTTTAAGATGATGTAAATCACGTACATGTTTAAAGACATATCTTAACTCTTAAATGTGTTTATATTGATGCGCAGCATGTATTATACAACTATTTGCACAACGGAGTGATAAATTGCTCACGTGTATTACTAATGAATGATTTACAGTTATATCTTTGATGTTATAGCAATGTTTATCATAGGCAAAAATTGCTAGACAGACAGGCATTGCAAAAACAATACAGAAAGCAGGAAGGTTCGAAACACTTTTGAACTATTCATACTTGTGGTGATTTTGATAAGACCACACGGAAATGAACATCATTGGCAGACTGACAAGTCTTGTGAAACAGTTACATAATTATTATTGAATAATATATCAATTATAGAAAACTAAATATATTATGTTGTTAATCAGATCAAGTGTTATGGAACTGAAAAAAACAAAGGATATTAGATCATTGTTGAGGCAATACAAACTTTTGCACATAAGAAATGTGTTTTAACAAGGGCCGAAACTTTACTGTTTCTCAGATGTAAATCCAAAATCGAAAACACAACTATCAAAATGCATTGTAGTCCTGGTTCCAATTTATTGTTAATTTATCTACTTTAGGTTTTGAAGTAACTACATCATGTATGGGTAACCATGCTGCATTAACAAGACATTTCACATAAACTGAACAAAAGCTGACGCTTGAATTGTAATGTACAGTACCCTATAGTAATATCCGAACACAATAGAGCAAAAACGGATTCTCTGAAAATGGTTCAAAATGGTTAAATTGGAAATATTGCAGACTTGGTTTGATACAGCCTGTCCATGGCAGGTAGTGGTAAACGCAAGTTATCGTCATGGCTTAAACAGAATTCCAGAAATTTTGAATATAGAAACATGTTGTGTTTATACGGCAATTATCTATCATTCCGTTTTGAATGTACGGTTCGACATATAACAACCCCCCTCCCCGCAGAACACATTCCACGCTTGATTAAATCTGCATTGAGATGACCACATTAAAAGTTTAAAAAGAATTTTACAAAAGATAAGACAGCCGGATATGTCTTTTAAATGCCGATGTAAAAATAACGGATATAATTTTGGTAGAAACATAAACGAAAATGTCATTTATCATTTGACTGAAATTGGATAAAGACTTTATTGTATGTAACGATCCAGGATATATTTCGTTTTTAAACCTGTCCATGCAACTGTTTTCAAACGGAATATTTCAATAACTCGACACTTGATAAAATTGAATAGACTCGTGTTTATATATATTTTTATTGATAATTTCAAGACTTCTTTATGAGAAATAGTACTGAAATAGAGTGTTAAATTAAAGACGAAATAAACATTTTAATATCTTTATATTTCTGCCTTTTCCTTTTGCATGTTTTATTCTCATATATTCTTGTTTAAAACTTTAACAAAAAAGCAAAACTCATTTTATTTTCAGAGAAGTCTACGGATTGATGTAGTCTCCGATACTCGACTGACTGAAGTTAACTTAGACAAACATATAATGAGTTAAGCGTGATCTGAATTTTCTATCCCAATCAAGCATAGAACATAATTGCTTTCTATTGAATTGCATTTTGCAATAAATATTCGACCTAATAAAAAAGTATTGATTAGTTTTACATCTGATCTGATCATACTGTGTCAACGATCCTTCGTTGAAAGTGTTAGTAATGTTTTATCATGTTTCTATAATGGAATCGAAAAGCAACACTTATCTTTATATCTTTTAGATCTGCTTTCGTCAAATGGAACTAATTGATTAGGTTTTGTTAAAAAGATGCATTAAGCCTTCGAGTGGATGTGATCTTTAATAACAATCATACTAGAGGATGTGAGTTTTTAACAATTTTAAAAGATTAAGATCGGGTTATAAGTTTGATGTCTACATCCTATCTAACGAACTTTTTTTTTACAAAACACATGTTTAACGTTTTTGAAAAGGATTTATTACTGCGTCGAATGAAGCTCGGTTACTGCTTGCCTCCAAACGCGAAAATTATTGCAACTAAATCTTTAAAACTACGTTCCAGGGATCATTTAGCGCAATCAATGTAGAAAAAAGAAATACAGTCACATGGTGCTTATTATTTGTCACTGGGAAGAAGGAGTGTAATTAAAACACTCTCCGGAAAGTTGATGAAAAAAAATACGACTTGAATCACCGCTAGTTTTTTAACGCTACTAGAGAATATTGTAGAATAATACCTGTTATTCGTCATCGATATCGCTTGAAATCACCCAGAGCTTCTGTGAAAAACGTTATATATATATATAAAGCCCTATAAGACTCAACAACTAACATTTGGTCGGAATTCTGAAGAACAGCAGATAGCATTGCTTTTTATATAATCATTTTGTGAGAAATTGACTAACACAATTATACAGCTTTGCTTGAAATAGGTAGGTGATATAATGAAACATTTTGTTATTATACGCTATTAAAAGGAACATTTTCATGCCACTTCTTAAGTGTTTGCCTCTGTCGAAATTTATTTTATTCATTGTAAAATTATGACATTTATCTGGATTAAATCACATTATGATTGTATTTTATGTGTAATGAATGTTAACAGAAACTTTCGAGATTCATTTGTAACTTATTCTAACCGTTCAGGGACTTTAAATTCTTTCTTGTGAGGAAGCTATCCAGCTAGCGTACGGAACGTCGGTGGTTTTATTCAGGTTCGTGCCTGAAATAATGCACGGAAGGCATCTCAGGTTTTCCTCACCCAGTAAAGCTAGGAAGTCGTCATATGACCTATACTGTGTTGCTGCCATGTTTTCTTCTTAATTGGCATTGCTTGTACAAGTTGAGTGAAAAATCTGATTTGACATTCATTGATGGGAATTGCAATCTTGAAAATACCAGGATTAGTGAACGAGATAACAAAGTATATGTCCTGTGATAGGCATTTAAACCAAACAATCTTTGAAATCCATATAAATTAATTGATTAATTAATTAATTAATTAATTTATTTATTTATTGATTAATGTATTTATTTATTTATTTATTTATTTATAATACGATCGCTATTGTACAATGTATCCTTTCTTTTCTTATGGTAATTACTTTAATTTTTAGTTAACAAAAGATTGTTATTAGTTAATTGGAAAATTAACACATTTACTAGTGGAATTATTGACATGAATGAATCAGTTCCAATAATTAATTCTCTCTTACAGGTGAAGTAGTACCACTAAAAGAATCTGCTGCCTACACATTTGGCCTCTTGGGATTCCATTGCATGCCAGTAATGTAATTTGTATAAATACTTGTTTTAAGTGTGTCTTTCATTCAGAGGAGAAATTAGAACAACAGTAACATTTTCATTTTTCAAAACGCTGAACGCATATTCCGAGTATTTGACGATTACTCAAACTAAAGACAAGTTTGCTTAATTGAAAGAAACTTTTCAAACTAAACAAGCATAGAATATTCTAACATACATACATAGTTTTGGATATTAACAAACTACGAATATATTAATAAATAGTGTGACGAATAAGTCGGAAAGAACCCAACAGCAGAAATTAACAGGATTAAATATGACTACATATGTCTTGAACATTTTATTAGCTGCTTTAGCTGTAAGCATGTTTGTTTCTAATAGTGATGGATTTGTATTAAATGGACACCAAGTTAAGATGACTGATTCTGATTCATCGAAGGACACCGTGATCGAAGACCTCAAAACACACCACCCGTAAGTTCATTTCAATGATATCAATAATCAAATGTTTCAATATTTTTCTTAAAAATAAGTATTTGAAATATATTGTTACCACCTAGGTACGTACTTTAGTTACTTTAGTAGAAAATACGTTTTGGAGACAAATTATCCGTTGTTTCATATAAAATATAATGAAGACATTTTACATGCATTAATAGTGATGTCTAACTTTTAGAAAAACAAAATTGTTGTTGTGAAAAGATAACTGTTCTCCAGAAATTTCTGAAATTTCTTATAATCTCATGCTATTCTAAAGCCATGAAACACAGATAAAATTGTATAAAAACATATTTTGATGAGCGTAATATAATGAAATGGTTTAATGGTATGGAACAAAGTTACCGAATGTGATAGACATATGAAATCAGAAACTGTTTTGAATAAGTACATAAATAAAATAATTATATTAGTACAAAAAAGAAAGCACAAAATAAGGAAGTGACACACAAAACAATCTTTATCAAAATAGACCGAATACAATGCGTTTAGAAACTTATATAAATTAACCATGAACAATTTGATTCTTGTGGATTTTTAAGTATTGTTGATTTTCCAAACTTTGTTTTTGTTATAAGCAGAATAAGTCAAAATTACAGTCGTATATATATGTAGTACAAGTTTGCGATTTTTTATTTTTAGGACGGTCAGACATTTTGCAAGGCACGGTTTATGTAGCAATTACGAGGGAAAACGAACTCTTTATATTGCAATGAAAGCGAAAGTCTGTGATATTAGCTGTAAGTTTGTTTTTATTGTTAAATAGCATATTTATTGGAATTGATGGAAGAATCTTAGGCATAATGTTCAACAGAGCATATAACTTAGACTGTCTTTGCTTTACAGTATCACTTGATCACGCTATGCTCCTGTGAAGTCTAATTCTTCGTCTGAGAAGAATTGTAATCCTGACCGCGCAATATATCTAAAACGGAATCTTTTGATCTTGACAAAACCATTAAATATTTTTTGGAGAAATTTCAAACTAAGCACTGACTGGATACTTTACATTGTAGGCCATGGTCGGAGAGCATGGCCATGCCTACTGATCTGTGTCTACACTGGTAACACAGGAAGAAAATGAACGCCTACTATGCCCAGATATTGTAATCGTATAAAGTTGTATAGTCAGTGATCTATGTTATATTCAATATGGATTTGCAGTCTTTGAATGTTGCTAATTAGTATATGCCAAAATAATGTAATATCATAATTCATTTCTGTTTCAGTGTCAACGATACAAAGTGTAGTGTTAGACCTTTGCAGACATAAGAATCATATGCTGGACAAATGGGTAGAGGAATTATTTGACATCGATGGTACGTTTCAATTTCATCATATAATTACAAAATTCAAAGGTATTATAAATTTGAAGGACAAGTTAACAACACTTTTAAAGTATATATTATGTTTTAATCTGAATATGAATTAATAGTCAAAGCAAAGGTATATAGTTGAAAATAAAATAAAATCGTGCTTATCAACATTAAGCTTGCTGGAGGTAACTGTATTTACCCATGCAAACCACTGTAGACCGTTTTCAGCTTTACCGGAAATTTTCATATATTAAGTAATGAATTGTTTTGTCCAGATTAAGAGATGGACAGGTCCATTTAATTTATTTACCGACGTAATCATAAAATTACAACTAGTACCTTATATAATGAATAATTAATTATTCTACTGTTTTTCTTTACAGGTAATGGTTATATCTCTCATTTTGAAAAGCATCTTTACTCTTGAAAACACCACTGTTTAAGGGTGGCAAGGATGACGTACCAAAACAGAAATTGGACCATACGAATAAAACTGAAAACAGATGATTCCAATCAGTAATTTCAAAATTACAATGCTACTAAATGTATTTGACTTTTAATCAGTTGAAATATATTACAATATTAGATTTCAATGTAAAAAAACAACAAATTCTTTGACTGCTTATGTAGGTTTATTTCTTTGTTTTTTATAACACATGGTGCATATGTTTCTGATTACACATTCGAATGTGCCTTTTTATATAGAAAAATGATAGTGCGTTTATTGAACTATAATTATTAAATGAAACAAAGCAAGCAATTTTGACACTAAAACAAAATGATGAATTCTGCTTTTAACAAATTTAGTGTGTGTATTTTTCCAACATATTGTATACCAGTTGTCTGATTATCTTTTTCGATTTTTAAATATTTTCGGTATTTGTAGATTTTTTAACACACGCAAGTGTCAAATAATACTTGTTCTCTAGAACATTCCATGTGTTTTTTTTAATATATGAATATTTAAAAGAACATTTTAGATATAATTATATTATAATTATATAAATTCACTGAAGGTTTTTAACAAATAGCATGCAAACAAATGCTGTCCAAGAATATTTTGTCTTGCCTCTAATGACGACATAAAAATATATTCCAAAATGGATACCAAACATTCCATTCATGATTGAAAACTGATCAGAGAGCTTTTGTTATTTAACTTTTGTGATATAGCTTAGCAGATTGTTGTAATTGTATGATTGTATGACTCATATAGAATGGAACATTTACAACCATTGTATTCCAAGACATTGAATATATTTATTATATTCAAGAAAAGAGGACTATAACCACTTTTTTAAAACATTTATCTTATGAATATTTTTGTCATAAAATATCTCATATGTTTATATGAAGGATATGTCTTTTTACTTTTCTGTCTCTTTTGTTTTTTATCGTCATATATATATATTTTACCTCAAATACCAATTCAGTATTATAAAATGCTTGTTGTTGTGAATATTTATTTGTACAGCTTGTTTGTTTACTTTTGTACACGTGCCATTTAAAAATAATAAATAATGTTACCAAAACAGGGATTACTTTACCTTTATTTTAAGTGCACATCATATTGGCATCTTTGTCCTAAAATAATCTTCTCGAGGTAAAGGGGTTGTATCTGAAGGCATACAAAAAAAACGGGGGGGGGGGAATCCAGTCATAAATTATTTATACGTTCTTTAATTGTTAACAGAAACAGAAGAACAGAGGTTTCCAAGAAACGTGCGTGTTAAGAGAAAATTATATTATTCACTTGATACCAGTGGTTTTAAAAGTAAAGAAAATTTACCATGGTGATATTGTTCTTCGATATCAGTTCTGTGAAATGACAACTTCTTTGACCACTGTCTTTCAGTCTCGCGCATGTGTGTTAATAAGCTATAGTAACTAATATTAATGTTGTATTTATATAGAATGTTTTAACAAAAACAACCATAATATCAATCCAACACTTGTCTTGCAACCCTTTCTGAAGAAACATTTGATACAGAAGTTACACTTGGCAGTGTTGGCTATATATAAATTGACGAGCCTTAAAAGGTTCATTGAACGCCGCCTTTCCTTGTTGATCTTGTATCATACTCTATTCTATACATTACAAACATGCATCGGTATTTTTCCGCCGATTTTTGTGTAATGAATGCCCAGAGGCAAGGATTAAATTCATTGACAAGCGATGTACATGCGGTAATTAAGTGTGAGATTACTTTGCATTAGGTTATTAATTCTATTTTTTACAAGAAATTGAAAATCCTAGAATATAAAGATCCTGTATGTTTTGTGATTGATATTGTTACTGTGTGAATACCACATTTGCAAAAAATTATATATGTATATAATTATGCGAATAAAACAAGTTTCAAACATCGAAGAATATGTAAATTGTGTACTGCAAATATTTGTGCACATTATATTTAATCAATAAGTTATATGCATTCATTTCTTATTGGAAAATTTGACTCAGAATTTATAGAAAATAATTTTCTAATTACCTCCCTTTATTTACATGAAATTCGGTAAATTCGGTAATATCTTTATAAATAATGCTTATTAGAACTTACAATATTGACAAATCTTAATTTGAGCATCATATTTATGAAATAAAACCATGAAAAAACATGTGTTACAGGATCTTTAAGAACCAACGAAAATGCCTGTTTTGATTAAACCGCGAAATTTCTTGCCCACGAATATAAGTGAATTCGCAGTATTCTAGAGGAACATCCAATATAATATAGACGATGCCTCAGGAAAATTGAAAACCATTTTGGGGGCGGAACAATCAAAATACCTCAAGATAACCGCCGTTAATCAGAAAAACGTTTGGGATTGTAGCGGAAGTTTTCTTAATGTTCTAAGAAGTTTCGGGAAGCTTTGAATTATCTCTTTTCGGTTGATAGGATAAAACTAGCATTTGGTCGTTTCATACATAAACGGAGGTTGTAATCTGTAAACGTTTTTCAAAAAGATGTGTATGTAAATCACAAGATCCCTTGCCTTAATAAAGGAACACTACAATTTCTGCATTGCCAAGTAAGATATTAAAAATTTAAAACGAAGGTCAATGTCATGTGATATGACAAACATGTTATGTGTAATATAATCCCTAAAACGGATGATGGTTCAAGCTTCACAGTATTTGCAAACCCTGTTTTGGTATGTGACCAAAATCTTTGAAAACACCATGAAAATTCATGAGGAAAAAATGGTAATATGAACATCAACTATTATAATTACCAATGTATCAGCGCATAAGATAGATATATTAGGTACAGTATTCGATATATTTACAAAGAACTGTTATTAATTTAATTACATACTGGTCTAATATGTGTTGAAAGTGGATAACTATCATGTAAATAGAATCGAGTGTTATTGCTTTTGTTTATATGTTCATATGTTAGATAAGTCGGGCAGAAAAGCTTTATAAATGAAATAGTTGGTGAAGGGGCACCCCTCGAAAGTTATGAAAACAAGTAAATGGCTGGTAATTGCAGACTCGGCCGTGAGTGATGTTGCACTTTTTCATTTTCCCTTATGTACATCAAACCAAGCCTGCAATTTTTATGTAATTTTGCTGTTTTTCATGCTTCCGATATTTATTTACCAGATAATTATCGATTCTGCTCATAAAAGTAAATGTATTGTGCAATTTCATCTTTCACGCTCTTAGAACATGTTTACAAGCATTTTCTCTTTTTTATACACCCGCACAACAACATTGAGCGGGGTATACTACTATCAGCTTGTCAAGCTAGCCGTCCGTCGGTTGAGATTATAACGGAGTATCCGTTGATATTTACATTGGACATTTTAATTTATTTTGAGGTCACCTGGTCAAAGGTCAAGATTACAGGGGTCTTGACATAAAAAGCTTGTCTGCCCACAGTCTTCTTATTTAACAAGAATGTTAGTCATGATTATTAGATGACCCCTTTCGATTTCGAGGTAACTAGGTCAAAGGTCACAAGGGTCTTTACTAGAAAACGTTTGTCTTCCCAATAACTTTAGATTCCTTTGGCCCATAGTCTTCATATTTGACATGGACGTTGCTCATGGTCATTAAATGATCCCTTTTGCTTTTGAGGTCACTGGGTCAAAGGTCAAGGTCACAGAGGCTTTGATGTCATAAAGCTTGTTCGCTCTATTGCTTTAGAATGCTTTGGTCAACTGCCTTCATATTTGGTATTGAGGTTGGTTATGACTAGTAGGTGACCCCTATTAATTTTGGGGTCACTAGGTCAAGGTCAGAAAGGTCTTGACTTAGAAAAGCTTGTCCGCCAAATAACTTAAGAATCCTTTGATCAACAGTATTTATATTTGGCATGGAGGTAAGGCATGACCATTAAATAATCCGTATTGATTTTGAAGTCACTGGGTCAAAGGTCAAGGTCACAAAGGCATTGACTTCAAAAGCGTGTTGCCCAATGAGCAAAGAATCCTTTAAACAACAGTCTTTATATTTGGCATGGAGGTACGTCATGACCAATAAATGACCTCTATTGATTTTTAAATCACTTGTTCGAAGGTCAAATTCAAAGGGGCGTTAAGTTCAAAAAGCTTGTCCCCTCAATTGCTCAAGAATGCTTTTGTCAACAGTCTTCATATTACTAGTGGATGACCCCTATTGATTTTGAGATCTCTAGGTCAAAGGTGACTGTGTCAATAGTCAAGGTCACAGGGGTTTTTACTACAATTGGCTAAAATGCTGAATAATGCCTGTTCACAGTGTATTGATTTTGACATTTTCACATGCATATAGTTATGATTAGAATCTCATATATTCATCATTCATAAACACCTCCGGCAAAGCTGCATGAATTGGGGAGGGGTATTCAAGTCATGCAGTGTAAGTTTCAGTTTTGAGGTCAGTAGGTCAAAGGTAAAGGTCACTTTGATCTTTGCCACTAAAACATGCATAATACATAATTTAGCATTGCACTGGCTTACTACCCTCAGATTTGGCTGGGAAGTTCTCCTTGAGCTCTAAATGACCACTTTTGATTCTGAGAAAGTGGTATGCGTATTCACGCCGTGTCGGTGGCAGTTGTAGTTTTTTATGCGGTATTCAAATCTTCAACACTAACATTTTTAGAATGATTTATTCCGAAGATTAATATATGTATAAAGAACGTGTTTTGTTATAAAAGTCATGTTTAAGTAAAGGAAAGTTGATTTGGTGTATGTAGACTGAAGAACGATGACTAATGCAAAGTGTTCGCATGTATTGCATGATTAAACAACAACTTATCAAAGATTCGTATATATATGATGAATGATATGTTGCACGTGCATTAAAACATCGTGAAAATAATACAGAAATAATTTATTTGAAATATATATGAGTAAGTTAAATGAAACATGATATTACAAATTCATTTGGGGTATATTAAGCTAAATATATCTCTATTGCCTGCAATCTCGAAAAATATTGTTTTAGTTTGAAAAATACTAAAAATTCTAAAATGCCTTGTACATGAAAGAAATATTGTTTTTGTAATTTCCCTAAGAGCGGATAGAATTTGCACGAAATCTTTGCTTAACGCTTAAAACCCTACTTAAAACTGCAGAATAATATTTTGTTCCGGAACGTTTTATTATCTTTATAAAAAAATGTCATGCATGTTTAATACCAGCATTTTCCTACGGTACCACTCTTTCGAGAATCGAACATTTAATTATGGAAGCAACACCAGTCTATTGTTTTTAACTTTAATAAAATGTTTCATTAGATATACCTAAATTCTCTTTAACGGAATGGTCACCACACATTAATCATTCTATTGTGACATCAATCAGATCTATTTTGTAAAGCAAACACATCTTTAATAAAAAAACTACTTGATTGAACTAGGAAACTTCTTGAAATATTATATATATATTTTTTGTATTTAATTTTTAAAGGATGACACATACAGTTTCGATTGATGTATAAAATGCTCATTACAACCATGATTCATGGTACGTTCCATGGTAACTTCCGTTTCTTTGATGTCATGCTCATGCTCGACTTCATAAATGATTATATAGATATCTTAAACCAATTGTAATCAGAAATGAATAATAAAACAGGATGTATCGTTATTCTTGGCACAGTGAACATTCAGGAAACTTCATGAGATATCATCAATGATTCAGTAATATATAACAATAACACAATACGATAATTGTAATTTTACAATGGCACCAGAGAGTTCCGGTTAATTGAATCCTGTACGTATATGTCTCACGATACAGAACATGAAATTGCTCTACTGTTATAATATGTGTGTATCAAGATAAAGTATATTGAGTAAAGAAATAATATTATAAATATTAATTTATGATAATTAAGGTGAACTTAAATTAAGTGCATCAGTCAGATGTAACCCGAACCGTACCATCCCAGATAAATTTTACATTTGGAAGTTCAACCAGGGAAAAACCATATTATATGTTGAAGATTGTCAGATTGTAATATTTCTACAATGCGGTTTGGAATTTACATTTTGAAGCTTACAGTTATAATTAATCTTTAGTTCTTTGACACCAACACAATTAAGCCGCATACTCTTGCTGGCAGCGCGTTGATGGACTAACTGTTAAAACTCTTCTCTCAGTTAATCCTGCTATATCCCGCACAGTCTCGGTAGTTTGGGCGGGGTTGTAACTGACTGACGCAAAAAAAAAGTTGTGTTTTCTTTCATAGTTCTTTAAAATATGATACGTTTTACAATATGGTTGTTGTATCTCAGTTAAAAGATATTGTAATAACCGGTCATTATCATCATCATCATCATCACCATCACCATCATCATCAGAGCCGGCGTCAGCTGAGCGTTGTTTTACATTTTGGTAAAGCTTTACTTTCAATCACCATTATCATTGCAAAAGTTGTAACATTAAGACTTTATTATGTAGATGTTTAGCCCCCATTTGACCTGTAATTATTTAAGTACGTTAGTTCAATTACCTGTAAGTTTCAAACTGTGTCACTATGAACAAAAATAAATTGGCGTTTCAATGAATTGAAGTCTATTGCCCTGGGAACTTCAAATTTTGTATGTTTATTTAACAAAATGATTTCTACCTGCAAGTTTGATTTCCGTAAAAAAACATTACTTGTCATTGAATAAAGGTCCATCTGTTTATGAATCGAAAGGTCAAGGTCACTATAGTATATAAATAACAAAATATGAAACTTTCAAATTAATTAAAATGCTTTGACCTTGGAACTTTGATTTTTGTATGTTGATGCTGGACACATCCTTTTTCAGGTGAAAAGAATAAAGGTCAAGGTCAATTGTTCCTTAAATAACAAAGCATAAAATTGACCATTAAACAAAATGAAATGACCTGAAACTTAAAACTTTAAAAATAAGGCGTTATACATGCCAAATCCATTTTTTGTGTCCATAAGTCAAATGTCAAGGTCAAAATGCTTTTGACCCTTTAGTTTTGTATTTGAAGCATGCATCTTAAAGGATTTTAGACAGGATGGGACAAGTTGTTTTTCAGAATTTTGATACCATTTAATGAAGATTTGGGTGCTAAATTTTAGATTATTCCCTGGCTCCACTTTTACCGAATAATGTTGTTTTTATTATACAAAATGACCAAAAAAAACGAAACGCTTTTAGACAATTTTAACTCAACTGGGCTGAAAATTGTACTGAATATCAATTTTCAGATTAATTCTGAACATGTTTCTTCATTTTGCATTACGTCTTCCGAATAAATCGGTAGTAAAACATTAATTTGTGAGAACTCCGTCACATAACTCAACCACTTATATTTAAGAGTCGTATATCTATAATTCATTGACACTCGATTAACAATAACTCTCATAATATATAATGTTTAAATTGTATTAACATATGAATTAATAAATCTATGAAACAACATTGTGAGAAAAGCAAACCTGTTTTGCCTTCCAGCATTATCACATGACAAACCATTGTATATAAGTTACAATATACGAGTTTCGCCAACATAGTGAATGATTTAGTTCAAGTATATCTTAAAATCATTAATTTTTACAAAAGCAAGTATTTAGTCTAAAACACTTTCACTCTTTTTTCCGACTGTTTTCTTACAATATCTTGTTCATTAACTTTGAATGATCCGAAAATAAGTAACGATGCATCCACTAGACATCATCAAATGAGTGTTTCTCGAAATGTGTAATATAACCGTCCCCTGAAAAAGAAAGGTGGTTAAATTTAATTATGCCCTTACAATTCAAAAACAAATTATGTGATACATTTGTATATCAAATATTTTCTTAATATTTACAGTTGTTGCTTGATAAATTCATTAAATTATCAGCATAATTATTTGTACATCGCTAATTTTAGTTGAAACACAATTTTGCTTGATTGAGACGAAAGCTTGATTATTATCTTAAGGCTTAAGCTTTTAGTCTGCTTATTCGAACAAACAAGCAGCGGTGTCATAACAGAAAACATGACCGTTATCCTCAGTAGGATTCGAACCCAGACCCACCTGTTAAGGGGCAGACATCCAACAACTAGGCCACCGCACAGTTTACTAGATAAGTGTAGTGGTTTGTTTCAGTGATATTTTAATCTGTGTGTTTCTACCAATTTCACTCACGAATAAGAAATTTCCCAATGCGTATCCTGATGGTGACGATATTTCATTGCGTAATATCGCTTTTTAATAACGTTATTAAAAATATTATTTATAAATCAATCTATTTGCTACCAGCAATAATCTATAAAACTATAATTATAGAATCAACCATCTAATATTTTATGATTTAACGTAAAATGAAATATTATGTAAAAACTATTAACAAGTGTATATATTGCGTATGAATATTACATTTTGCACTTTCAGTCGTTCTGTTTGTTACAATGTTATTGATTCAAAGATCATTGTCAATCCCAATAGTCATTTTCCTAGTCAATGTAGTAAATTAAGTAATAAATATTTTATACAGTTTTCAAACTGCAATTATAATTATTGTTAACCACGTATGGTCAAGAGTTACAACTACTAGATCAATATGCAAGAAAAGCTGCAAAATTATGTCTGCCATTTCAAAATCGTCCTTTCTTGTACAATATAATGAATTTCTATTGATGTTTATTATTATGGTTTTTGTTGTTTTTTTATAAAAATATATTATAGACTAAAACACAAGTTACTGACAAATACTGTCTGTATGACAAAACGGTCTTTAAAATGTCAATACCAAAGCTTAATAATAAGTTTAGAATATTAAAATTTTCTTAAAGGCCGACAAATCATATGTATTTTTTCATTGCTCATTTTTTTTTGTATTCTGCTAAAGTTTCCAAAAAAAAACGATATTTTTACATACGCATTGGCCATGCAGATGAAGCATCTATTGCGTTTGGGTCATAATTAAAATAATAGTGATTGTATATTGTTTACCTTTTGCTACTTTTATGATAAACTTGTTAAAATTTCACTCTGCATCAAAAAACATTAACATGAGTCCTCCCCAGTAAATCCATCATTCAGACAAAGTTAAACCCATGTTATAAAAAATGCATCCGATTCAAAGCTTACTTGTACCTTTTGTTATCAGTTATGTTATATATAGTAAATAAATGTAGCATATAGTTTGAAGTATGCTAATTCTTACCATCAATGTCAAATAATTCTCCAACCCAATTTGTCAACAAAGCATGTTTCCCTCTACATAAATCCAAAACAAACTCCGCTATAAAAGATACTGAAATTTGAAAGTATTAGGTATTCTGTTACTCATGTGAACTTTGATCTTGTTATAAATACAACTAATTATTACAACGGTTTATTTGATTTAGAGTTCAAATAAAGCAATTTTATGTTCAATTTGTATCATTAGATATGTTGCAAATCGAATTTACTTTTAATTTGTATAAAAAATATGTTAAAGTATTTCCTTACATTTCATTTGACATAACTTGGTCTTCATGGCTTTATACAGCTTCTTTTTGCCTTCAAAATTTCTACACAGCCCATGAATAGCGTAATGATGAATTGACCTGCATAAAATATATATATGTTTGTTTGATAGTTTAGTCTGATACTCACTTAATATGACACACACATATATAATAAGTATATCCTTAATGGTTGACAATGGTTTTCCGCTCTAAAGTAATCATGGCAACAGTTTAACAGCATTGTAGAGCGATTTTGTAAATTATGTAGTTAAGATTTGTAATTTGCAGTGGCCTACTGTTAAAAACTATTCATGTCTGTGCTTTTTTGTTTGTTTGTTTGTTGTTTTTTTAATGGTTTTTTTATTTTATTTTTTTGTATGTAGTTGTTATTTATCGAATAAAACAGTAATAAAACAGACTCACAGACTTTCATAGTTTTACTTTTTATAATTGCGACGATTTCTGATTTAAGATTGTACAGATTGGTTTGAACTCTACTCAATGAATCTTTATTTAATGATATTTAAAAGTGTGTATATGTGCCTGAATAAGTAAAGGATTTTATAATTCAATGTTATTCTCTTAATATAACAATTTTAAATGTTCAGATAATACGATAACTGAATTAACAACAGTTAACGGTATAGTTTGAATAATGTTACAGTCTGTCCCATCAAATTTCAATATTTTTTTAATGAAATATAATAGTAAAATCATTTAAATTAATGTCATGTTTACACTGACCTCATTATCTCTAGGCATGTGTTTCATTTTTCTCAAAAAGTTAGTAATATGGTCAAAATGTTAAAATTATATTTTTCCTCCGTTGACTTACGTTGTAACCTGACGTGGCGTCCATTTTAAAATGGCGGCGCCCATACTGACGTCATTTAGAGTTCGTCTCACAATAAGCGTTGAATGCACTCGGTAATTATAATAATTTCATTATTTTCTAACTGATTAATAGCTAAACGTTTTCATTAAAATGAAAAGTGAAGTTGGTGTCAAAAAGGCAATTTTACTAGCAAACCATTGTTTAAAAAAATCAACATTATAGTAACTATCTATCTCTTCACTTACGTGTGATGCATACTCGGTGCTGTCCTTGGTAAATTGATTGGCCAATCATCGCTTTCCACAACCTGCGTTACATTTTTGTCCATCAATAGTCCATACTGTTGTGTTAATCTAAAAATAGTTTCTACTGCAGCTATTGTTTCTAAGATACACAGTCCAAAAGAAACCATATTGGATTAATTGTTGTGATTATTTTTAAATAATCCAGTAAACAAAGAAAGCTGCACTTGGTAAACAACCGTAGGCTTTAATAAATGATAAATAACATTAACAATTGAAAAATTTAGCACTTCGTCTGCTTGTCCACTTACATTTTCAAGATATTACACATCTTATATGGTGATAATAGTGAAACTGTTGCGCTGATCGTTAGACTTTATTTTAAAATACAATGTATAAATAATTAATACAAAGCCATCCGTTATGGCATTGTAATAACACGATCAATAATCAATTTAGCTGCTGCTATTTTAGCGTAATAACTTTCTCTTTTTTCCAGGGTTTGGAAAACACTGTGCATTTCAATTTTAAACTCCAGGAATCCTCTTTTATCAAAACTTTATATTATCCTTTAACAAATGCTTTATCAATCACACACATGCAAACTTACGGTAATTGAGCACAAGTACATTTTTAAGCGCATAGATATAGTTTTACGTTTTATGCACCCAACAAAATATTGTTTTTCTTTCATGTCTATGCTATTATAATTCTAGGAACACAGCTTCTCAATGTCACGGTGTCCTTGACTTATTGTTCTTATCAGAGAAATTGTGTTTGTCAAACACTATCGATCTTTCCTATTTCAGCAGGAAAATGCGATACAAACTTCTCTTATATACCTGTTATATACCGTAATTGAAATGTACGATGCTAATTGCGATATATATTATGACTACTACAACATCGTTTATAATTATTTCGAGAATGTTTTTTGTAAGATTAACCTTTGGAATCTTGTTCAAATCCACAGGGAGCAAAAAGCTGTTATTGTAGTTCAATAAGAAACTGGTATAATTACATTCTGCAAGTCAATATGATATACTTGCTGATATACCAGTGCTCGCTGACTGTAAACTTGCTTATTATCTAGCAAGAACGTACATTTTGTGTATATACCCTAATGTACAACTTTCGTATATCTATCCTTTTGATTATAATACATGTACTTTAAATTATTTAAAACTTATGGCAATAAACGTAGCGTAAATTACGTTATGTTGATTATTTATAATCTTCACTATTCTATTACATTACTTTTATTGATTATAGTTATAAAGATCAAGATAAAAAACTTTTCAAATGCTAACAACAATTAGATCTACGGTAATACTCATAAGTATCTTTCTTAAAGCTGTTTAAATTATACATCAAACCAAATATATATTTCAAGTCATACAAAAATTGATACGGTTTGTAAAAACAAAAGAAACTTTGCACTGATCACAACTTGTCAAAAACTCATTTATTCCAGATGATGTCTTACTCTAGTTCAAACTTTATTATGTAATAATCACAAAAATTACAGTTCTAACTTTCTCAAAAATACCTCACTGTATCAAATTGTAAATAAACAACAAATATGAAATTATGAAAACTATTTTTGTACTGTTGTTTGATCTCATTCTTCCAAAATCGGCCAACATATCTCCATACTTTAATTTAAAAAAACTCTTCCAATCATTAAAAACTAAAATAGAATTTCATAACTGATTAAGCAGTAACATTAATAACATATTAATTATTTTATCCAACACAGAGCAAAATCCTAAACTAGATTTGGATAGATAGTTTAATAACTAACTATATAGTAAGTATTTTTCATATCACATAAAAAATCCTGTTAAATATGATACTAGAAACACCTAATTCTCATTACACGTTATCCCTTTTAAATGTCCACAATTGCTTTGATTTTAAAATCACAATTATATTACCCAGTTCTGATGTTTCATGTTTTATAAACTAGTACAAAGTTGAGCACCTGTTATCCGTTAAAGGTACAGTGTTGCAATACATTACAATGGGTTTTTGTTCATAAAAAATCTGTCACGTAACAGAGTTGCTGTTCATGTTAGTTCTTTCCTGCTTTAACAAAATATCAAATACCACATTGCACAACGCTTTTTTTATGTGATAAGACTCTGAGTTTTATCCTTCAAATGAGAAACAACCTCTAAATATCGACACGAAAAGAACGACATAATGGCGATACATTCAAAATTAGGTCATTATCATTTCATTCGGTAATTTTTTAAGGTGAGATTTATTAACCAATTAAAATTCTCAATTAGCATCTTGAAATATAATTTTGTTCACTTCTTCTCATAGTATAGTAGGCATAGTATGTGGAATTATTCTGAAGATAAAATTGTATTCAATCAACATGGTGCTTTTTGTTACTTATTCCATATTGAAGTTTGATTTTAAAAAAAAATGTAACAAAGACAATATTCCAATGGTCATATTTGTAAAAAAAAAACAGTTACACTTGACAAATAAATATTTGTTCAGATTATTTTGTGTTAAAAGATGTATGAAAAGGAAGATATTGATTCCACTTAGTAAAACTATTTTAAAGTATTGTTTTGCACATTTTGTACTGTAGGAACATTTCTACTTATAAAGGAGTCTAAATGACATTGCGACACATTCCCGTTGTACCGATGGACCACTACCGTCCATTTACGAGCTTAAGAAAAAAAATGCCTGCAAAATGTTTAATTTTTCACGGTATTATATATTGACTTTTTTAAAATGTTATGATAAATGTGAAATAGTATTAAGATCTCAAACGTTTAGATTATCGCCAATTAAGTAAAAATGTATAAAAATTAAATCTACACAGGACACAGTACGTCATCTCATTGGCATATCTAAATTAAATACGTTAGTTTTCAAAGGAAAAAGCAATGCGTGTGACTGATTTTTGTTGCTTTTTTGTTGTTTGTAACTGTCCTTTATTTCTTTCAAAAATAAAATTTTAAAGCCCTTCATTTCTTAAAATAACGTGAATTATCAATAATAGTGTTTCCATCTATTGATATTTAGATCGAAGAAATAAGAGGGATTTCAAAAGTAAATTAATAGAGCAAATAAGAGCAGATTTTTTTTGATTTTTTAAAAATATGATTTTAAAATATTGAATGAAAGAACAATGCACATGCAACGTCTAGCGAATTTCATATTACTATTTAGTAATAAGCGTTTTAAGAAGTTTGCAATGTGAGATAATTTAAGTTGTTAAATGAACTTTAATTTTGACAATTTTGTTCAAATAACGTACATGACATTACCAGTTTATTCAATACATATCTCAAATTGCTAAAATTTTCATCATCAAGTGCAAAACCTTTGGTAGGTGTTTTTATGACAACAAAGTAAACTTGTTAAAAATTATCTCAATAAAATGGTTTTGATCTTACAAATCTTTTGTTTCAATCACCTTACAGATAGTAATACAACAAGATAGTTATCCAAACAATTTAGTGGGTGCAACTGCTAAATGGTAAGTGTTTTTATTTATAGGCAACAACTATTTACAATGAGGCATCTGGTTCCACTAAGAATTCCAGTTACATATTTGATAATGATAGAAACAACGAACGAGCCACCTGTAGATTCAGCATTATGATGTGGTGAACCATTGACTCTTTAAATACCAGTTTGGTTATTCATCTGGTTTATTGGTTTTGTAGCGGTTCTTGTAAGATTTGAGATGCGTATTTGACATGTAACATATGAATACGATTCATTGCTTGAGAATTCAATAATTTAGAAATTGTTGAGTAGATTTTCTTAAAAAAGAACTTGGTATTTATATCTATATTTTACTGTGTGTTCTTAGTCCTTAGTTATTGCATTTTTATTGCTTCTCTTCCGGCAAATTCAGAAAAAAATTATTCAGGCATGATATTTGAAATGAACAACTAAGGAAGCAATGCGAATATTCCATAGTTTGAGTTTTAAGGGAATCTTTTAAGGTTTTTAATGTATAAATTATTATCTGTACTATTACATGAGTTTCAGCTATTGCTTTTTTGATTAAAAAAAATTATTATTAAAAAAATCCTTTAATTATTACATAAATATAGTAATACAAAACATAAATATTTGACAAAAAAAGATAAAATTTCAAAATCACAAGAACAACGCACATTACTGTATTTTCATTTGTTGGTGATAAAATTAGAGAAGAACGGAACCCCTTAAATAAGCCCAAATCGACAAAATTGGTACGGACATAAGTAACGATGCATCCACTAGACATCATCAAACGAGTGTTTCTCGAAATATGTAATATAACCGTCCCATGCAAAAAGAAAGATGGCTAACTCATACAATTAAAAAAACATATTAGTTGTTGCTTGCTAAATTCATTAAATTATCCGCATATTTTTACGTTGTCAAATCTAAACATAATTTTGCATGATTGAGACAAAAGCTTGAATATTATCTTAAGACTACAGCATAAAAAAGAGAAAAACAAAATCTCTCTAAAGAACGCACAAAACGACAAAATTAAAAATGTTGCAGGCTCGGTTTGATTGAGACTGTCCATGGGAGGTTGCGGGAATTGCTTGTTAGTCACTTTATATATCAAAATTATGTGTTGTTAATTAACATTATAACAGTTTTAATTTTCAGGAGATAATGAATCGACACAAAACACCCCTGGTTCTGAAAACCTAAAAACCTACTTAGAGAGTACATATAATAAAAAAAGTAAATTTAATATAATTCAGTACATATAATATGTAGCAATGTTTTTAGATAAGAAATAGGCATTTTAAAAAGCGTCACAAAAGTAGTGTGTACATTAGTTCTTACTTTTGCATATTTGATATGAATACTAAGTCTTGTAATTATATCAATTATATCAATTTATAAGAATATTCTAAAAAGACATAATCACATTATACGCACTTTTTTCTTGTTACATTATTTTTCATATATGTTTTTTTGTATATGTTGTTTTGTTTTCTTAGACTAGCGAAATTTTTAAATATTCTGTTTGAACAAATTATGAATTACTTTTAAAAGTGTGTTAAACTCCATTCTACGAGCAAAAATGTTTTCATCATCTTCTTAAGCATTGGATGAAACAAATTAGTCATAAATTGCGTTCCATGAAAAGGCCAAATCTAAGAGGCCAAGCAGCATTTGCGATTTTGTATTTGTTATGCGACGTTAAATGTTCAGAATATTACCATTTTATAATAGTTACATTTAAGCCTCAAGGTTTCACGACATAAAACAAAATACACCTATACCAATACAAAGGGTATTACTAACTTATTGATTAATGTATGCACCACATACTAGCATATAAATAAAAATAATGCGTTATGTATTCCAAACAAAACACTTATATTACATAATAAACGCTCGTATATGATCGATTTGACACTACGAGCATGTGTTTTGTCGATCACAGTGACTATAAAATAAATGCTTGAAATAAATGTTCACTTCCGATGAAGTATCAAGTATTAAGATATGATAAGTGTAAACACTTTAATCCATTCATTTTATAGTAAAAATAATGTTTAACACTTTAAGGTAATATATTTATAGATTTACAGTACGGGTCAAATAAATGAGTAAACGTTTTAAGCGCATTTGCAATTTGATAATAACATATTCATAGCATAAGTAAAAAATATTTATTGAAAGCAGCAAGTATCGATCTTCACGCTTATGCTATTGTTTAGAATTGTTATTGTGCAAAATAAATTATAAAAGCAAA